CACTATCTCTCTTTGATTAACACATATAATCTGGCAAAACCTAAAAAAAAAAGAAAAAGAAAGAAAGAAAAAAAGGATGGAAATAATTCCAATCGAAAAGGAGTGTGGAAGTCAAGACAAAGAATTCCAATAGAAAAGGAGTGTGGAAGTCAAGACAAAGAAATAGCAAAGGGGAGAGAGGAATAAGAGCGTTTTTTTCTCCCAGTGGAGGGAAAGGACAAGATGTGTAATGAGTATGGAGGGTAAGAAGGGTTTCTATGATATTTTAAAGGACTTGAATTTTTTTTTTTTTTTTTGTGGAGAGGTTTTTGCTATAGGGCACGTGTGCTCGCCAGACAGACAAGAGAGACATAGAGACAGAAAGTGAGAAATCACCCCCCCGGGGGGGTGGCCACGCTGCAATCCCTTCTCCTCCATTCTCCTCTCGGGATCTTGGGCATGCACACACACGTGCCCGGCATGAGTTTTAAGCCACCGGGTCTGGGACGCGAACTGCGGTCAACTACATGGGAGTCCAGCAACATAGCCATTACGCTAACTGCTGGTCCCAAGAACTTGAATTTTAACCTTTAGGCAATGGAGAGTCACTGAAGGGTTTTAACATAGGTATGCCATGATTAGAAATAGTTTAGATCTTGGGCAGCTGTGTGGAAACTGGATCAAGGTAAACAAGAATGGAAACAGGGAAGCTGTGGTCTAGGTAAGAAATATCAGGGCCTATCCCTGAGAAAGAAGAGTGAGGACAGAAAGAAAAGCACTAATTCAAAATTATATATAGGAGATAACATCATTTGAAAATAATAATTGACTTGTCCTGACTCCATGGAAAGGGGTTTAGATGTTATTCTAAGGTAATGGGGAAGACCCTGGAATATTTTGACCAGGAGAGTCTGATATTCTGACAGATTTTTTTTTTCCTTTTTTTAGAGAGATTTTTGCTATATGGCATGTGCACTTCCTAGAGAGACAGAGAGACAGAAGACTAGAAATCACCACCCAGGGGAATAGCCATCCCTCAGTCCCTTCTCCTCCATTCTCCTCTCGGAATCTTGGGCATCCACAAACACGCACCTGGCTTGAGGCTTAAGCCACCGGGTCCAGGACTTGAACCGCAGCCAACTCCATGGGAGTTCAGTGATGTAACCATTACACTCTCTGCTGGTCCCATTCTGACAGATTTTAAAAGCCCACTTTGACTGCCACTCAAGAGCATACTGTAAATAGAAAAAAGCAGGAGTACAAAGTTAGTTGATTATAAAAAAATTTTTTTTTAATTTAAAAAACAGGCTATTCCTATTGATGATGGCTTGGACCAAGATGGATGCAAAGAAGGTGGTGAGAAGTGATTGGATTCAAGCTGTGTGTGTGTTTCTTTTTTAAAGGTTTTTGTTTTGCTTTGTTTTGAGAAAGAGAAAGGCACCCTCAATGGGGTCCCATTATGCTGCAATCCAGCCAGCCCCCAAAACATTCCAGCGAACTAGGACCACAGGCACATGATATCTTTGAGGCAAGTCTGAGATCTCAACCTTGATCTTTGATGGGGCTCCAGCATTGCCACTGTCAATGGGCTTCAAGTTGCATTTTTACCTGATGGTATTGTCTAATTCATAGGGTTGAGAAAGTAAAAGGGAAACTTAGGAAGATCACACCTATTGAGCTCAATTGTCTTGTTTAATTAGAAGTTAGGCTGTTTGCCGAGGTTGAAAATACCATCCACAGTCTTGAAGAAAATGGTGAAGGTTTGGAAGACAGCAAAAGAAGCAGAAGGAACTGAACAAAGGCTATTTTAAGGATTCACTGATGCCTTATGAACTTTGAATCCATGTGATTTTAGTGGTATCAGTTTAATCTAGTAAGCAAATTTCCCTTCACAACACTCAGCTACCCAGATGTAGAAGTTAATCATAGATTACAGAAATTAAGTTTGTAAAATGGTTTGTAAAATGGCTCGGTGCTTTTACTGCTACCACACAAGTTTTTTAGAGCTAAATGTACCTAACATTTGCCAATTTAAGCATTATACATGATTTTTAAACCAAGAATCCTTGGGACCAGCAGTTAGCGTAATGGCTATGTCACTGGACTCCCATGTAGTCGACCGCGGTTCGAGTCCCGAACCCGGTGGCTTAAACTCACGCTGGGCACGTGTGTGCCCAAGATCCCGAGAGGAGAATGGAGAAGAGATTGCGGTGTGGCCATCCCCTCTGGTGGGTGATTTCTCGCTTTCTATCTCTCTGTCTCTCTGTCTTTCTGGTGAGCGCACGTGCCCTATAGCAAAAACCTCTCCAAAAAAAAAAGAATCCTAACCAGGGTCCTCCAATAGGTTATAGATCTGCCAGAAGGTTAAAATCCCAGTCCTAAAGCTGGCAATATTGAGCACAGGGCAGCATTGAGTGGGAGGTGAGGGGCCAGAGTCCCAACTTCTATTGCTTCTTGATGGAAGCAACCTCAACTTTTCACTGCAAAATGTAATATAGGTATTAATTTTCTTTTTTTTAATAACTATTTTATTCAACTTTATCCTTTTTTTTAAAAATTATTTAATTTGACCAGAGAAGGATAGAGTGACAGACAGAGAAAGTGAGAAAGCAAGCCACCAGGTCCAGAACTCAAACTGTGATCAGCCATGTGGGAGTCCAGCGCCCTCAACCACCATGCCACCTGCTGGCCCCAGGTATTCATTTTCTAAGTATACTAATTTTTTTTTTTTTAACTTGGGAAACACTGTTCTAAGTCATAAAACATGAGAAATGCAGTATTATGAAGAGTTCAAAATAATTGCTTCTCTGTTAAAGACGTTTTCTCAGCAGGTCTTTGGGATGATCTAATTTCCACAATGTAGGTCTTTTGTTGTCGTATTTTAATTTCCAGGGGGTACATGCACTCATCAGAGCTAGAGAGAGATAGAGGGATAATAAAGGGAGAGAGCACCTCACCCCCCAGTGGGATATAGTTACGCCACAATGCCTTTTCCTCCATTTCTCTACCCTGTTGAAATCTGAGGCATGTACATACACCCAGCATGTTTTTCAAGTTGCTAGGGCTCGGATTTGAACCATAGTCAATCATGTGGGATCCAATTCCCTCAACTAATATGCCATAGGACCAGCCCCCCATGATGTGGGTCTTAGAATTCCTTTTTGGTGGCAAATATTTGAGTATGTCTACCACTTACATTGTCAAGGTGGCAATTATAAAATCTCACAAAGTGTTCAGCAGTTGGCATGGTGGTTAAGGTGCTGGAGTTGGGGTGCTGGACTCACACATGGCTGACCCTAGTTTGAGTCCTAGACTGGGTGGCTTGCTTTCTCACTTTTCCTATCTCTCTCTGGTCAAATTGAATGAAAATAACAATAATAATAAACAAAATTAATAATTCACCCCCCCAATAAAATATCACAAAGAAAATCTTAAAATCACTAAAAAGAGGGGCCAGCAGTTAGTGTAATGGCTATGTCATTGGACTCCCATGTAGTCGACTACAGTTCGAGTCCCAGACCCAGTGGCTTAAACTCATGCTGGGCACATGTGCATGCGAGCCAAAGATCCCAAGAGGAGAAAGGAGGAGAAGGGACTGCAGTGTGGTCATCCCCCTTGCGGGGGTGATTTCTCGCTTTCTGTCTCTCTGTCTCTGTCTTTCAGGAGAGCACACGCGCCCTATAGCAAAAACATCTCAAAAAAAAAAAAATCACTTAAAAAACACCTATGAATTTTGAATGTATCCAAAGGTTCTCACTTACATAAAAAAGATGCTCAATTTACTCATTTTTCCGTAGAGTACTGACTCTGTAGCAGGCAGGCACTGGTTTAGTTTCTAGAGCTATACAGGTGAACAGGTATGTTCTGTTTTTGTGGGATTTGTTTTTCTTTGTTGTTGTTTGTTTTTGAAAGACAGAGCAAGCTCCTAGGGAGAGAGTGAGAGATAGGTGTTTTTTACCTGTCACCAGGCTGCATCCTTTCTGCTTCAGTCTCCCTGTTAGCGAGGACCACAGGTGATGTGCCACCAAAACAAGACTGTTTCAGATAAAGATATGAATTGAACTTGGGCCTCCCATCTAGCTTAAGTTGTTGAGTAGCTGCACCCTCCTGCTTGTACCACCACAGCTGGGTCAAAGACATGGTTTTTACCTTAAGAAACTTATAGTCTAGTGGGGAGACAAAGAATTAAAACCAAAAAGTGTGATGGGAAGTACATGATTCTAAAAGATTTAATAGCGTAAACTATTAAAACAACACTAAAAGATTATTGGTAAATAGTTAGGCAAAAAGTGGGGACAGGTATGGTGGAGAATACCAAGCATGGGCAATAGCATGCAGCAACCTAAAAGACACTAAAACACCAGTGAGGTCAGAAGACAGAAAATGTTTGGACATAAAGCTGGAGAGGTAGCTGAAGTAGTTTCAAACGGAGTTTTCTTCAAAGAGTAACAGAAAAAACTACAGTGACTTATGCTGTCACTTACCAGCATACTGACCCTTTTAGAACTTTGACTTGACTTTTCTAGATCACAGAGCCAAGGGACATGGCAGTGGTAATGCAACCATACCCACATGGGAAAGGACTTCATTCGCGTCTCTTTTCTGGACCTCCCTGAGCACGCTTGACATGTATGTGTTCTAGATCTGTGTCCATGATCCAGGCTGGCTGAGACTGGAGGTGAACAGCAGTGTGAAGGCCCTGTTGGTGGTACCTGTCTGTCGGCCTCTCACTCTAACAGAATAAAAAAAAAAAGAAAGAAAATCACAGTAGTTACAAAGTAAAGAAGTGGTTTCAAAGTGGGCATGATTGAAGGTGAAGGGAGGAAAAGATACTAGCTTCTTATATTTTTTTATCATCCTTTGGAAAATGTTTTTAAAATATGTAATAATATTCAGTCAATTAACTTAGAAATACTAATATTGGCTTTTATTGAGCACATACTATATATACTGTATGAACACTGTACTAAGTAGTATATATATTAGATCATCTGGAAAGTCATGAGTTTTTTTTATGTTTTTCTATGCAAAAATGCATCATGACTTTTCTGACTATCCAATATATCAATTCATTTCATCTTCATACCCTAAGGTTGATACTATTATTATCCTCACTTTCCAGGAAGGGAAAAATGAGAGTGAAGCCAAGCAAACAGTTCGGATTCACTCAGGAAACATTAAAGCAAAATTCAAACTCAGAGGTCTAGCTACAGAGGCTATATTAGACCATGTACCACTTTTCAGCAATACATGTATATGATTTAAAATTAAATATATCCATGAATTGGGAATAGATGTTGAAATTTTTTTTCTGAACAGCAAAGAAGAGAATGGTGTAGGTTGGGTGATTGGTTGGGTAGATATGGAAAAAAAAAATAGCAGTAGACCAGGTAAGAGATAATGGTGTCTTGGATTATGAAAATAGTGATGGAGAGAAGGGGGTGGGTTTAGATGTTTGGTAGGGGAAATATACAGGACTTGGTAATGGATTGAATATGGGAGTCCAGCGACACAGCCATTACGCCAACTACTGGTCCCTAAATTTATAATCTTAATCTATATCTTACTTCCAGATTTTAGAATTAACAAAGTTAATCTCTGGTTTAAGAGATTGTAATTCTAGTTTATTCTATTTTCTTCACCTCATTTGTACAATTTCTACTAGTCTAAAATTGCTTCTTTTGGAAATCAAGATACATTGGAAAACATACTGTTAGTCTTATTCTCAAACAGCCATGGGAAAATTTGACTTTCTGTTTTCAAATATTACCTAACAGCATGTTGTCCCAACAAGCAATACTGGTCAGTTCAGATGCCTTCTCACCTCAGGTTTGCCAGAAACTTTCCATTTAGCCTCAGAAAATAAACATCGTTTATGATTTATGATGTTACTACCCAGTCCATCAGGCCCCATCACTGAATTGTAGGTAACAGACAGGGATAAGGCCAAACACGTTAGATGGATCAGTGGCCATTTCCCCATCAGTTAATTTGAACTCTACATTTGGTCCACATCACTAGTGCACGTTTTCCCTGAAATGTGCTTATTAAGTAGGCCATACTGTTATGGGTAACTGTCATAGAACGTCTAAGACTTGAAGCTCCGCAGACAGGACGGCTTGAATTTTCTCCAAGACAGACAAACACGCTGCGGTGGGTGCTGGGCTCTCTAAGTCCGGGCGGACCCACCGACCCAGTCCTCCGCGGCCGGAGAAAGGGGCGTGACGCCGCGGGAACTCCCGCGTGACGTCACGCGGGCTCTAGGCGGGCGGGTCCGGCCGCCTCAGAGCCTGGCCGGTCTCCCTGTGGCCTTCCCACCGCCGGAAGGCGCAGACTTCCCAGGGCCGGCTGGCCTGGCAAGAGTCCGGCAGTCAGGTGAGGGACAAGCGGAAGAGGAGAAAAGCGAACGACCGTCCCTCCACTTGCCCAGGAAGCGCCCGCCCTGCTCCGGGGGCTCGGAGAATCCTGAGGCGGCCTCTGAAGCTGCGGGTGAGAGACATCTTCTCCCGCGGGAGTCCCGGGTCGCAGTGGCTACTTCCGGTGTGGAGGTGGGCGCGCAGCCAAGCGGTTTGGCGCGGGGCTGGGATGGCTGTACGGCTCTCGGGCTGTGTCTGAGGGAGGACGCTGCACTTGGGCTAAACTCGGTGGAAGTGAACTGGCGAGAGGACGAGGTGGCGCTCGGTGCTGTTCCCGGTCTTCGCGCCGGCTGACGAAGCTCCTCCCAGGGCCGAGCCCCTCCACCCCCGCCGGCGCATGCGCTGCTCGGGGTTCCCGGGCCAATCGCTTAATTCTGCTCCTGCCGAGCCTTTCCAACCCGCGCGAGAGGGAGGGTGTCTGGGGCGAGACCTCTGCACCTCCGCGTCGCTGAAGTGCGTTGGGCACTTTGCTTAGGGCCCCCTTGGGACTCGAGGCGCCCTCTTGCCTTGCCGGAGTGAGACGAGTTTCCTTGGGACCTCCCGTGCGGTGGCGCACGCCTCGCAGGGATGCGCGGAAAGGTATTCTGTTGGCCCCGGCCTTGGAGCCCAGGCGTGGCGCCGGAGCCGAGATGTGCGTTTCTCAGAGAGGACGGTGCGTCTTCGGGCGGTGGATAACGGTTCCATGCCAAAAGGCAGATGTCGGCAACAAGTTCTGGGAGTGCAGGATAGGTGCACAGGGTGTGTGAGCCAGAATTTGCACTTTGATATTGATAAGGTGTTTTTATGAGATAAACACAAGCGCACCTGACTTTTTTACCTTTAAATGCCTCCGAAGACAGGTATGTTTCTTGAAGGGCGCTTATTTTTGTACTATTGGTTGAAATTACTAATGTATTGTGCAATTTTAAATTAATACATTAATTTTAGACTTTTATTTTAAAGTATTTAATAGATGGAATTAGTTTACTTTTATTGTGTTGTTCATCTCATGACTTGAGTCCCAGCTCTGACAGCTGTGTCCTGTCTGTGTGGCTTTGGGAGAGTCACCTCATTTCTTATTCCTGTTTTCCCAGATCTAACATGAAATTAATTATACTAGCTGTTTTATGCGGTTCTGAAGATTAAGTAAAATAATGAATATAAAACATTGCAATCTCTGATAATATAGTAAATAACAAATGGTGACTGCTATGGTAACATAGGCCAACCGATTTACTTTTTAGGGTTAAGAAGTCGAATTCAAGACTCTCTGGAAACAAAGCTGTACTAATAATGCCCCTAGTCCCATTTTAAAAAACTGTTTTGAAATTAAACATACACAAAAGAAAGACACTACAGTTATGAAAGCCCTCACATACTCATTCTTCGTCCAACTTCAATAACTGTCAAAATTCAGCCCTTGTTTATCTCCCTACTTACCACTTATTTTTTGTGTTTGTGTTTTTTTTTTTTTTTTTGCTGTAGAATTTTCAAGTAAATCCCAGACAGTTTGTTAACTTTTTTTTTTTTTTTTTTTTTGGAGAGATTTTCACTGTAGGGCACGTGCACTCACCAGACAGACAGAGAGAGACATAGAGACAGAAAGCGAGAAATCACCCCCCAGGGGGGATGGTCACGCTGCAATCCCTTCTCCTCCATTCTCCTCTCAGGATCTTGGGCACGCACGCACACGCGCCCAGCGTGAGTTTTAAGCCACCGGGTCCGGGACGTGAACCGTGGTCGACTACGTGGGAGTCCAGCGACATAGCCATTACGCTAACTGCTGGTTCCCAGTTTGTTAACTTTTTTATCGATACCTCAGTGTATTATCAAATCAGGCCTTTAGATAGACCACATTATCATATCCAAGAACATTAATAACTTAATACTTCTGAAATCCAATATATGCTCAATTTTGCCAATTATATTTCTAAAAAGTTAACTGCACTTTTGGGAAAGTTTAACAAAGTACCTTTATTTCTGTACAGTTTATCAAGTGATCTCACATACACTATACACTTTTTTGTTTATTATTAATTTTTAAAAGAATTATTTATTTAAGTTTATTTGTTTTTATTGTTTTATAAAGTCTGACCAGAGACAGACAGAGGGAAAGGTAATATGAGAAAGCAAGCCACTGGGTCTGGGACTCGAACTGTGGTCAACCATGTGGGAGTATAGCGCCTTAAGCACCATGTCACATGCTGGCCCCCTATACACTTTTTTAAATTTATCATTGTTGAGCTGGCCCTTTAGACCAGTAGGGGAGTCAGAGACCTGGATCCCAGCCCTACTGCCATGAAAAAAAAAATGTGCTGGGCATATGCACATATGCAAAAATGGAGGAGAAAGGATTATGGCTTGACCATTCTCCATTCCTCTCTTCCTTTCTATTTCTGTCTTAGATGAGAACATGTGTCCTCTGGCAAAATAAAACTGTGTCATTATTTTAGTCTCTTCATCAGGGACCTCAAGAAATGGTTAGCAAGAGACACTTAAATTAGTTTGGGCACTTGTTAGCAATGGTACAAGCATTGGCTATGGAGCCAGGAATGAGGCTAAGTAAATTTACTAATCATTTCCTTTTTCTTTTTTTTTTATGTTTACAATAGATATTTATTTAAAGTAATACATCTGCAGACTAATTATTTTTAAATTAAATGTTTCAGGTTCGAGGACAACAGCATCCACCATTGCAACCTAATTACTTATTTGCCCACTCTTCATGATTGCAACCTAGTTGTTACTTTGCCCACTCTTCTTTCTCTTTCCTTTACCATATAACCTCTTTCAGATGTACTTCAAGGTAGAAATTATCCTCCTCGTATTTTGTCCATTGCTCTTTAGGCAAGATCTGCTGCCTCATGGTTCAGTCCAGTGCTCTCAATGTGAAACATCCTGTCATTATAAAGATTCTCGGGAAGTCTTCTTATGGCTTCCTTCATATCTTCATTCTCATATATTGTATTATCTCACATTAATCCCATTTTATTGAATCCTGCAACATTGTAATACCATTTTCAAATCTCATTCAGACACAGACCTGATGCTGAAAGGTCTGGCCTGCTTGCCATTTTGACCCCTCATTTTCCTTTTTAATGGTGGCTTATTAATGGTTTCAGTTAAAGAACATATGTTAAATATTTATTAATCATTTTGAACTTCTTAGTATCTTTTTCCTTGTGTAGGAGTTATATAAATAAAAACTTATTTAATCATTCATCTTTACTCAGAGAGGCACAGAGTAGCTGCACTGTAAGTGTTTATAACCTAAATAAAGACATTTCTGTATTTATCTTTGCTGGGTCAGTATGTTACTGTCTTTTCTTATTTCTAGAAAGCTATACAGATCCTCGTGTGTAGTTAGTACATCAGTCTGTCAAGCTGTTTGATAACATGTTTGTGCATAGAGGTATGTATACATGCACATATTCCCTAAGTCAGGAATAGTTCAGAATATTTCCCAATTTTGGTTCAGTATACAGTTCAGAAGTTTAAAAAGTAGGGACTGGATGGTGGCACAGTAGTAAAATGCCACACTGACCCCCTGTAGGAAGGTTCTGGGTTTGTGTCCAGAGACCTCCCTGAGTGTGCCAGGCACATGTGTGCTTGTGATCCAGGACTAGTTGAAGCTGAGGTGTGGATTGTGGTGGAAAGACCCCATTGGGAGATGCCATTTTTCTGTCTCATTCATAGCAGAAATTAAAAAAAAAAAAAAAAGAAAAAACTGAAGAAAAAAAGTTACAAGAAGTAATACGTTCTTTTATTATTCAGTATCAACCAAAAATGATTCATAAACCTTTTAATATTGACAGTTCTTTGCATTTAACATTATTTAGGTAATTACTGCTTTCTAGGAGGAATAAGAAAAATATATATATTATATAAAAGACAAATAAATGAAATCAGGGCTTTTCTTACTGTAATCCTCTTTCCTCTCTTTCTCCCAGCCCCACCATTTAAAAACAATTGCTTGTTGGTAAATGAGGAAAATTTAACAACAGCTGCGCTTCTGTTTCATTCCAACTTTAAATTATGTAAAGATAAATGCAGATTTCATTTATGTTTTCATTTGTCATTTAGGTATTTGAACTGTCCAAAGACAACTTCACATCTATATAATGTAACAGAAAAGGTCCAAAAACATTAACCAAATAGAAGTGTGGAGCATATTAAGCAAGATGAACATCTCTGGAAGCAGTTGCAGAAGCCCTAGTTCTGCAGATGTATCTAATGACTTTAAGGAACTCTGGACAAAACTAAAAGAGTACCATGATAAAGAAGTACAAGGTAAAAATGTTTTCTTACATGAATATAGCAGTATTTTGTTGAGACTATAATAACTGATTTGTATGATAGTTTTGCTTTCTTTTTTAACAGAAGGAAAAAAAATCACCTTAAGTTCAAAGGTCTCATTGGAAAGGATCATTTACAGTCCTAACTTTTGGGCATTCGTTTTTATCATTGAATTGTTGCTTTTTATTTATTTACTTATTTTTACTTTTTTTTAGAGAAATTTTTGCTATAGGGCACATGTGCTTGTCGGAGAGACAGAGAGAAAAATGAGAAGTCACCTCCTAGTGGGGATGGCCATACCACAGTCTTTTGTCCATTCTCCTCTTGATATTTTGGGCACACACACATATGCGCCTGGCATGAGTTTTAAGCCACCAGGTCCAGGACTCAAACTCAAACTGTAGTCAACTATGTGGAAGTCTAGCAACATAACCATTACACCATCTGCTAGTCTCAAATTGTTACTTTTTAACTACATACATCTGTTACATAAGTTCTTTTGGTATGCCTAATCTCTTGGTATGTATATGGGGTGATGGAAAAGGTATGGTATTTGTTGACAGAAGACCTGTATTTGAATGCTGATTTCATTTATCTACTTGCTTTGTGATCTCAGCCAAGTTTAATAACCCCTAAACTTAATTTTCATCTGTAAAATTATTTGCAGCATTATTTATAGATATTAAAATACCACTCAAGTCATATGACAAACTTTTGGGAATGTATTTGCTGCTAAGCACTGAGATATGAAAGTGAATGGCAGTTTACCTTCAAAGCCTGCCATCTGATGGTCAGGTAAACAGATAATAACAGTTCAATGGAATAGGAGCTAAAAGGGTTATATGAAGTAAAACGAATGTACAGATGATTTAAACAGTTGTAGTTGGGATAAGTGTATAAATATTTGGGTCAAAGTATATTTCATATATAAGAATTTTAAGGCCAACCTGAAGACTTATTGATATCAAGTGTTTTTTTTTATATTAAAGGGATTTTTTAAAAGAATTATTTATTTATTTATTTATTTATTTTATTAATTTTAATTTGACTGGAAAGAGACACAGAGGGAAAGGGAGAGAGGGAAAGTGAGAAAGCAAGCCACCAGGTCTGGGACTTGAACCGAAGTTGGCCATGTGGGAGTCTAGCGCCTTAACCACCACACTGCCTGCCAAGCCCCATACCAAGTTTTAATACACCACATCTAATTTTGTAACTTTAGTATAATTTTCCCATATGTGGGGAGTGCCTCATAATATGTTTGTTTCTTAATTATCTAAGGCAACCGTAGGTTTTACTACAGTGCTTTGTAACTTTAACATTACGCCAGAGTGCCTTTAAAACATGATCTACCTGAATCTAAAGTGTATTATGTGGATCTGTATTGGAACTTCCCCATGATAAATTTAGTTTCTGGCAGAACTTCATGACAATAGCTTTATCATTCATTAATGAACTCTGAGGTATGAACCCCAAAAGCAATTTTGCAAGCTCCATTTTGCTTGGAGAAACTTCTTTAAGAAATGTATTTTACACACTTACTTTTGTTAAACTTTGTGAATATGAGTCATACATATCCTAGTGTAAAGGGAATTTCTACTCTAGAATTTTAATGCCATATACCCTGATATCTGGGAACATAAAGGAAGAACTGGGGTGTGTACATGTACTTTTACTGTAGGATTAGACCCTGTGAGCAAATAAGTCTAAACGAAGGTGATAGAAGGGGAGACAACAAACATTTGGAGGTAAGAGCTTGATTTTATTCAAGGGACTATAAGAAATTCTCTTCAATTTTTTTTATAACAAAGGGTTGGAGTTTAGCCACCTCTACTCATTAACCTGCATCTTTTGCTGCTTTCTTATGCTCATTATTTGATTGATTATGCCTGCCATGTTTCTGTTAAACCCAGTTGAACTATCAGTTCTAATTGCTGATGCAGTCAGTTCAGTAGCATTCATTTACAAATCAAAGTATCAGTGGAACAAGGTGACTATTGTTATATCCGTTTTCTCTTTTTTTTTTTTAAAGAGACATTTTTGCTATAGGGCATTTGTGTTCACTGGTGAAAAATCACCCCCCACCCACTCCCCCGGTGGTGGCCACACTGCTGTCTCTTTTCCTCCAGTCTCCTCTTGGGATTTTTAACATTCACACATATGTGCCTTGTGTGAGTTTTAAGCTGCTGGGTCTGGGACTCGAACCACAGTCGACTATGTCAGAGTCCAACTACAAAACTGTTAGGCCATCTGTTGGTCCTCCGTTGTTTCTTTTTAATTTTTAATTTTTTTTCTTAAAGTATCAAAACACAAAGTAGGCAATAGAGAGTTACCTTCCTCCCCATACAAACAAGTAACTATTTTATTATAATTATTTTATTTAACTTTATTAATTTATTTATTATTTTCATTTGACCAGAGAGGGACAGAGTGAGTGAGTGACCAGAGAGAAAGTGAGAAAGCAGGCCACCAGGTCCAGGACTCGAAATGTGACCAGCCATGTGGGAGTCCAGTGCCCTCAACACCACGCCATCTGCTGGCTCCTACTTTTTTTATTTTTTGTGTATATATTCTTCCAAGGTTGGTTTCTCAAGTGTGCATATGTGTTCTTTCTTGCACTTAAACTTTCAGACTTTTTTCTTATTTTGGAAAATTTTGCACGTATATGAAAATAATATAACAATATGTTGTGTTATATATATTAGAACTACGGTCGACTACGTAGGAATCCAGCAACATAGCCATTATGCTAACTACTGGTCCCACAATATGTTGTTTTATATTAATAGGGTGCCATATTCATCAGATTTATAGAATATATAAAAACTCACAAATATTACACATTAGATAATTCTCTTAAATTTTGTGTAATATTTATGGCTTTTCTCTAATAGTCATCACATTCCCAGGAAAGTTAGTTTGTATACTTCAGAAAACTTTTTTTATCATTGTTTATTTAACTGTATTTATTTATTTATTTATTTATTTATTTATTTATTATTTTAGATTTGCTATAGGGCATGTGCACTTACTAAAGAGACAGAGAGAGAAAGTAAAAAACCAAGCTGCCAGGTTCAAGACTCAAAACATGGTTGGCCATGTGGGAGTCTAACACCTTAACCACCATGCCACCTGCTGGCCCCATACTCTGGAAGAATTTAAGTGAGAAATACAGCAATTGTTGGTATATATAGTTCCATGTATTTTAAATTTTTTTGTTTTTGGAGAGGTTTTTGCTATAGGGCATGTGTGCTCACCAGGCAGAGACAGAGACAGAAAGCAAGAAATCACCCCTCAGGGGGGATGGCCACACCACAATCCCTTCTCCATTCTCGTCTCTTCTTCTGCACGCACGCACATGCGCCTGGTGTGAGTTTTAAGCCACTGGGTCCGGGACATGAACCACGGTCGACTACGTGGGAGTCTAGAGACATAGCCATTACACTAACTGCTGGTCCCAGTTCCATGTATTTTATAAATGATGGGTTTTGGGCATGTATTTGAATTGATGAGAGCAGATAATTTTTGGTGCTTTATAATATATTGTTTGGGTCATTTTTTCCCAATTTTAGATCACTTATGGATTCTTAAAGGTATTAAGTGAATAAACAGTATTTTTTTTTAACTTTGATATGTCACTCAGCCATTGTGGTTTGGACCATCCAGATTTGCTGAAGGCAGAGCTTTTTTAATATTAGTCCTTTGTCAGTGTATTCCACATAGTTTCATGTAAAAGAAGATACTCAGACTGTGTGATAACATCAAAGACTTGCCTTAAAGGTATTACATATTTTTTTTTTTTTTTTTTTTTAAAGAAGATGAGGGATCCACTTGGAGAAACCAGTCTAAGAGGCTATTTGAAAGACATCAAACATGAACTTGTCTGGACTTCACAGATCTTGAAGTATACGTAGGAATCAAAATTGTCTCATTACTCTTAAAACTTGATGTTGTTTAAAAGAAAAAGAGACAAGTGTTATGACTTTCTAGTACTTAAGGGTTTTTTTTTTTTTTTTTTAAAGAGAGATTTTTGCTATAGAGCATGTGTGCTCAGTTGAGAGACAGAGAGACAGAAAGCAAGAAATCACCCTCCAGGGGGTTGACCATGCCACAATCCCTTCTTCTCCCTTCTCTTCTTGGGATTTTGGGCATGCATGCACATGCGTCTGGCATGAATTTTAAGCCGCCAGTCTGGGACTCCAACTGTGGTTGACTACGTGGGAGTTCAGCAACATAGCCCTTATGCTATGTGCTGGTCCCAGAGATATGTTATTTTTGCTTAGATACCCAAGGAAATATACCCATAGGAATATACATGCATCTAAATATGCTATTTGTTTTTAAAAGGTTTATTTTTTATTTAATTGAAATATAAAACAATAGCAAAAATATGTCATATACATGACATTATGTACACTGAACACACTATAATAAGTTACTATATTTCTTTCAAAACTAGGTGACAATAAATAGTCTCCCAATTTCTGTTGAAGAATAGCAATTGCAAACCAGACCTTTTTTAAAATAAAAAAATCTATAGACATTAATGCCTAAGTTTTTATGTCTTTTATCTTTAGGATAATCTTTTTTTTAAAAAAGAAAAAGAAAAGATAGAGACAGAAAGCAAGAAATTACATCCCCAGGTGGGGAACAGCAACACCGTAGTCCCCTTTTCTCTGTTCTCCGTTTGGGATTTTGGATGCACACACATGGACCCAGTATGAGGTTTAAGCTGCTGGGTCTAGGATTTGAACCACAGTTGATTATGTGGGAGTCCAGCAATGTAATCGTTACACAATCTCCTGGTCCTGGGTTATCATGTTTTTTAAATTTTATTTCATGAAAGAGAACATGTATGAAAGAGTATCCTTCAGCGAGCCAGGATCATGGGAACTCATGTGCCCATTTATTTCAGGTTGACCAGGATCACTATGTCATTTTACCATTGCAGAGTAGCTATCTGGGCTTCTATAGCTGGGTTAGGATAATTGTATCTT